TAAGTGCAAATTCATATTATACTCTGCAGTTTTCTTATTTTCAAAAACTTGCATTTTGTAGTTAGGGTCCCTTGGAGCCTAAAGAAGCTAATGCCTTCTAGGAAAAATAAAATTATCCTGAGAAGTTTTATTGGAAGAACTGAGGAATTTTTTATTATTGTGCTGGATTAAAAAGTTCTCATCTATTGGTCCTAGAGTAATGAGCTGAGAAAATAATTTCTTATGTTTGGAATGGAAAGCCATGAATGATAAGATTGCTGAGAGGGTTCCAGGGAAAAGGAGTGGTCCAGTCAGTTCATTTCATTCCTAGAGAGAGTAGACCGTCTAGAAACAGAATGAGAGAGAGAAGAACATCTAGTATTTTGTGTATATTTTGACCAAGTTCACGTGGTATTTCTGATGCACTAATTTGTTGTCCAGCTCTTGTTATTTAAAAAGCAGAGGAAGTTTTTGTGTTTAGCATCGAGAGTCTGCTATTTCCATAGCGTATTTGCTTTGTTTGAAACAATAAAGCACACCAGCCCTCTGTTTCTGAAAACGAGTTGCAATATCTGTAGTTGAAGGTGTTGGTCTAAGCCCGGCCCCTGCATTGAACTACATTCCCATTCATACTCAACACCACATCACAGGGGGAAGGCAGTGCTAACACCCTTGTAGGTTAACCTGGACGATCTCTTTGTACTTTATTTTTCTTTCCTAAAGCATTCTTTTGACCTGAGCTTGTTAAACTATTTCTGTAAGAGAAAGAAAGAGAGAGAGAGCAAACGCTTGTCTGTATGGTTCTGTGTACCTGTGAGCATGTGTGTCTATACTAAGTTTTAAATAATGAAAATTTAACCATTTGCTCATCAGTTGTCATTAGGGAAATGTAAATCACACCCACTAGGATCGCTCTAATTAAAAACTGGATAAAAACAAGTATTGTTGAAGATGTGGAGAAATTCGAACCCTCTTACACTGCTGGAGGGATTGTAAAATAGTGCAGAAATTTGGAAAACAGTTGGGCAATTCCTCAAAAAGTTGAACATAGAGTTACCATAGGACCCAGCAATTCTACTCCTAGGTATGTGCCCAAGAGAACTGAAAACATCTGTGTTCCTATAAGAAAGTTGTGCATGGATGCTCATAGCATTATTCAGTACAGCCAAAAGTGGAAACGACCCAGATATCCATCATCTGAGCTATGGACAAGTACTGTGTGGCACCTCTAAATAATGAAATGTTATTTCACCATAAAAAGGAACTATTATTAATACATGATACAGCACAGATGAACCTTGAAAACGTTACGCAAATGAAAGCAGCCAGACACAAAAGGCCAAATGTATGATTCTATTTACATGAAATGTTCACAATAAGCAAATCCATGGAGACAGGAAATAGAGTAGTGGTTGCCAGGGGCTGGGGGGAGGGGAGAGTGGGGAGCCACTGCTAATGGATACAGGGTTTCATTTTGGGGTACTAAAAATGGTCTGGAATTAGTGTTGATTTCACAACCTTTTGAATATTCTAAAAAACAGTGAATCACACACTTCAAGAGAGTGGATTTTATGGTATGTGACTTCTATCTCAATTTTAAAAGAACCAAAGCTTTAAGCATCTAGAAAGTCAGGCATTAGCCTAGTACTGAGCCTGAGTGATAGTGGGCCTCTGATAAATACTTGCCCAGTGAGGCGAACAAGCCTACTCTCTCCCTGTGACTTTTTAGGGAATATACTTTAAAATATATGGAACTATTATTACATGAAATTTACCAAATGCATGAAAATAGTGATGGCAATAGTATTACTCTATTTCAAATATGTAGTGACTGACCTTTTCTTGAGTCTTAAAGAAAAACACACAATTTTAAAAAATATCAGGGAATAATTGTAGGATTTGCTGCACTTTAAGTGATATGGAAGGCTGTTTTCAGAGTAGCATTTGATGGTTCCCATTAAGACTGTAGTTCTTTCTTTCTTGGGAAATTAATTTGGTTACTATCAGATGCCAGATTGGAAACATAATTTATAACTGTTGTATATTCTTGCAAGTTAGTGCCCTAAATTGTTCTTGAACATTTAATCTGAAAGTTGAGATATATACCTCCCTAGTAAATGATAATGATGAAATATGTCCTGCTTTGTAAGTAGAATTGAAAATCACCATAATTAGTTTATTTTCCTCTTTTTATAAAATCCCTTTCTCTCCCCCTTGAGACACATTGGTTTCCTGAGTTATGAATTCAGTTTCTTTTGTTTGTTCTAGCCACTTAGTTTTTCTTATTACATACCTGTTAAATTTTTAATTTCTCATTAAAAGTAAATATGGCTAATTTTCCTATCAATATTTCAAGAAGTCTTCCATTTCTCTCTGTCACAACCTTGATATAGAGCTGTCTGGTGTGTATTACTACATAATTAAAATGCCATTTTTTTATCAAATATTTCTGGCAAAGCAGCCTATTATGTTTTAAATGGATCAGAGATTAACTTCTGTAAAGTTGAGATAAATGTTATAAACACTGTTCTGGAACTAAAAGTGGTAAGTGGAATAGTATGTGTAGCATTCTGGGAAGGTTGCTACAATTGCAGGAAATATTCTTAGAGATAAATATCTCATAGGTACTCAGACCTTTGCAGTCAGTCTCGTTTGTTGTATAATGAAGATGTATTAAATCCTAATCTTGAGTCAGTGGGCAAATACTCACTAAGCACTGACTATAAGCCAGTCACTGTGCTAGGCTCTGGGTATCCAGTGGTGATCAAAATGGATAAGACAGTTCTGCCTTTGGCCGTTTTTGCTGTAATCCTGGAGCCCCTGGTGTGGGACCCTTGTGTGGCTGGAGCATGACCAAGGCAGAGACCAGTGTGAGATGAGACCAGAGAGGTGGGCAGGGCACTAGTAATCACAGTGCTTAGTTATGGTGCAGAGTCTGGTCTTCGTTCCAGCTATAGCGATAAGCCAGCTGCAGTTTTGTCAGTGTTGCTCTGAGCAGTGGTAGGAAACAGTTGGGGGTAAGAGGAGAAGCAGAGAATCCAGTTAGGCAGTTTGTTGTAATCCAGGCAAGTTATGATGGTGGCTTGGACAAGAGTAGTGACCCTTGACTTAGAAGGCCAATGTGAAAAAAATCATTTGGGAACTTTGCAATTGCAATGTTATTAGATTCTCTAGTCCATGAAAATGCTACAGGCTGTAATAATAAGCCCACAGCAATGAAGAAACTTGGGTTGCGCTAATAATGAGGAGATACACACTCACATAGAATTTTTCCTTGGGCATTTCTCTTGGGGTGATGTTGATAATCCATTTGGAGGGGTAGGGAGTGCATTTGAGCATTATCAGGATGCTACCATTTGCAAAAGATTTTTCACATAAATGAGGCTACCTTATCATAATGAAAAAGTAGCTGCCATTTATCCAGCACCTACGTTGTTCCAGACATATCACAGTCAACCTGGGAGGGAGGTATTATTCCTAAATGAAGAAATTGAAGTTAAGAGTTTAAGTAATTTGCCCTAGGTCAGAAGGTTAGGAAGCAGGAAAATCCTGCCCCCTTTTTCTCCAAAGCCCATGTATGTTCCCATGTGCCTTCTGAATGGGAACCTGTAGGGTATCAGAATGTGTTTCTTATTTGGGTGGGAGCCCAGGAAGATCCCCAGGGAAAACAGAACCCCTTGATGAGCACTTTTGGCATCCTGTCTCCTAATCTGTGTGCTGACCCATGTCTGTACCTGATATAAATGTAATGAGCAAGGCCCTTCCCCTTAAGGACTCGATTCTTTTTGCTGATCTCTTCCATCTTTAGCCTGTGTCTCTTCCTTCATTAGCTTCTTCCCCTGAGCATAAATCAGTCCCTCACCAAAGCAATACCTTCCATACTGGTCAGTAATTGCTGTGAACAAACCATTCCAAAACTCAGTGAAGTCAAGTAATGTTTATGTGGCTCACTGTTCTGTGGGTCAGCAAATTAGTCTGGGCTCAGCTGGACTCATGCATCTGTGGGCAGCTGCTGGTCAAGTAGACAGCTTTGCTTCTGGGCATTAGCTGGCCAGTGGCCCAGACCATCAGGGTAACTGGCTACCCTGGACTTGTCCACATGTGTGCTTGGGAGGGTTTCAGGAGAGAACAGAAGCCTGCAGATCATCTTGAGGCCTAGATTCAGAACTCATGGAGTGTTCCTTCCTCTGCATCCTGTCAGCTGCCAGCTGCAGCCAGGTACAATGCCAGCCAGGGTCTGGGGCGGAGAAGCAGACTGCTGGACCCTGGAACTCTTCTCTGTTGCTAATTCCAGTTCACCTTTTGAGACCAGAGGCGCATCACTACCCCAGGCTGAAGCATGTGCCTAGGCTGTGGGTTCCGTCTGTCACTATGTTTAGAACATTGTGTGGCCCTTGTTGGTTTGCTCCTTAGAATGTGAGCTTCTTAAAAACGGACTGTGTTTCAATCCAGCATTTAGTTCCTAGTAGGTGGTGTTTAAAAGCTGAAGTTCTTGTGAAAATAAAGTATTCCAGAGTGGATACCTGCCAGCGTGTAATAGAAGATAATATATGCTTGCGTTTTAAAACTTGCTTGTTGATGTTTAAACACTTTGGAGCAGACTATATCTGAAATATCACAATTGAATATTTCTTTGAAAAAATGAAGGGGGGGCGAAGAATTCTTACCAGCATTCTGAGTAGAAATCATTATCACATATTTATGTACTATCTTTGTAGGCTGTTCTTACTAGGTTATGAGTTTGCTCAAAAGGAAGACAAGCCATATTTTCATGACATGTTTGTCAGAGAAAGCATGCCCACCCCTTAACCTGCCCGCTGGGATTTGGGATAAAAGTCCCTGTTTTAGGGTGTAATATGAAAGAAGATGTCAGCCAGCGTCCTGGATGTTACTCTGGAAGACACTGAAAGTTGGTACTGCCGATAGATGAGAGGTGGGGTACACATAGTGGAAGCTCGTTTTTCAGTGAGTAGTATGTCTTATCATTGCTTAATTCGTCACTGATGGATTTCCCTGTGCACTGCATTTTATGTTTCAGGCTCAGCTGCCTGTATACCTCCTTGGATTCCACACATTCCCATCACTGGGCTGAGATCCCACCATGCAGCGGAGACAAAGGGGCCTTAACGTTGGGCTTCTTCTGCTCCTTTCGCAAATCTTCCACGTCGGGATCAACAATATTCCGCCTGTCACCCTGGTGACTCTGGCTGTCAACATCTGGTTCTTCCTGAGCCCTCTGAAGCCGCTGTATAGCTCCTGCCTTAGCGTGGAGAAGTGTTACCAGGAGAAAGACTGGCAGCGCTTGCTGCTTTCCCCCTTTCACCATGCAGACGACTGGCATCTGTATTTCAACATGGTGTCCATGCTGTGGAAGGGAATCCACCTGGAAAGAAGACTAGGAAGCCGATGGTTTGCCTGCGTTATCACCACGTTCTCCGTCCTCACGGGGCTGGTGTACCTGCTCCTGGAATTTGCTCTGGCAGAATGCATGGGTGAGCCGGGCTACAAAAGGAGCTGCGCGGTAGGCTTCTCAGGTAAGGCGGACAGGTTTCCAAGGCACCTTCATAGAGACAGCAAGGGGGTGGCTGCTGTCCCTTCAGGAAGCCTGGGTCCCCAGGCGGTGAGGGAAGTGAATTCCGAGGGGCTGGGGGCTGCAGGGGATGTGTTCTGGAGAGGGGGCTGGCTGGAGCACAGGAGGGACATCGATTTGGCTCTGCACCATTGATCTTGGACAGTCTCGACTAGGGTTCCTCAAAGGTAGTTTTGTAGGAAGTGCAGTACTGGAACTATGCACTGACTCCATCATGGTGGGCCCAGGGACCCACAGGTGCATCTGTGATGGGGAGTTGTGTAAAAAGATGAGTGTGCCTCTAAATAACTTCATTAAAGTAAGTGCATCACATCCTGCCGCGGCATGCTCACCATGTTTTAGGAGCCAAGGTGAGTCGCTCTGTAACTCACGCTATTTGACTCGTATAGCAGGTTCATAGGGAGCTGGCGTTGTCTTGGTTTTGTAGATGAGGGAGCTAAGACTCAGAGAAGTAAGGACCTTGCTCAAGGTTACACACCTAGTAAGTGGTGAGCTGGGATTGGGACCCAGGCTGCATGACTTTAACCATGTGCTGCATTGCCTCTCCCTTTGACTCTCAGTAGTTTTGGGTTTTTTTACGTGTATGGCATAGGACTGAAATTGCCAGCAGGGCTTAATTAGGTGTCCTGAACATTAGCATGTGAAGGGGAGGAGGAAAATGGTCCTGAAACAGAAGGAAACCTAACCCTTCCCTTTACTTCCCCTGCTCTTTCCCCCTCTTTCTAAGATGCACCCTCGTGCATCTAATTGTAGCAGAAGAAATGACATAAAATTAACAGTGTTGAAGCGTACAATTCAGTGGCGTTTAGTGCTGTTGCTGGTGTTTCACCCTCACTTTGTGTCATGGGTTTAGCAGCATCCCTAAAGTCAGGATTAACTCCTGTGTTAAGAAAATCTGAAGAATGATTACTTTGAACATGGTCTTTCAGCTGAGAGCTGGGTTGACTGGTACAGAATTTAAGTCCTTCTCAGAGCAAAGAGCTGGATGTAGTGGAAGAATCATTTTCCCTTCCAGCTGGCTTTCTTTGTAAACGGTGGTTATCTCCACATCCAGATGGTTGATATTTGTGTGCTCTTTCCTCTCTTTCAGGAGTTTTGTTTGCTTTGAAAGTTCTTAACAACCATTATCACCCTGGAGGCTTCATCAACGTTTTGGGCTTTTCTGTACCCAACAAATTTGCTTGTTGGGCAGAACTTGTGGCGATTTACTTTCTCTGTCCCGGGTAAGTGTTGTTTACTCTCAGAGAGCACAAGTGGAGAAGCGGCTATTGTGGGGAAAGGAATTGGAGTAATGATGAGGCAGCTGATCCTTCAGTGAGTTCATTCTTTCACTAAGGATAGAATCAGTGCCAGGTGTTCCCGAGTTGGAACCCTGCCGCCTACTGAGCTGTGTGATTTTGGTGTACTTGAATTAGCCCAGTTCTGGTTTCCTCCCATTTTGAGTAGGAAAAAGAGAACCTGATATACAGATTTGAGGATCAACATTAACCAGCCCATCAATCCATTAATTCTAACAACAATTATCCAAAGAGGCACATAGAAACCACATAAATAGAAGTGTAAAAAAATCACAAGTATGTTGGTCCAGTGCTTATAAACCATTTGAGATGTGAAAAGGGGCCACATGCTAATCTGACAAACTCAGGAGAGGCCTGTGTGGCGGTCTTGCAAACTCAGAGACCTGAAGTAACCACAAAGGATGGTCTGAAATTATAACTTTTTAACTAAAAGCAGTTTATGGCAGGCAGGTAGTCATGTCCTAGGCTGGAATCTTCCCAGACAAAAGTTAAGTACCTTAACCAAGCCTGTCTATTGTCTTTTGCTTCTAAGATAACATTCCTTTGGAATGTCAAGGTAACTCCCCTTTCTCCAGACTACTCAGGGCAGAACCAAAGCAAAGACCATCAGTCTTCTCATTGTTATTGTTATCATGTTAATTGTTGACTGTTAACTATCCCCCACCCACCTACTCAAAAGATGTGTCTATCATTTTACTTTCATCCCGCCCCAGAGGTTTCTCCCACCTTGCTTTCTCCTGTCTCCCTGAGCTGTCACTAGTGGACTTCATGTAACCCATGTGAGCCTTCTCTTTTCATTGTAATCTGTAAAATAAGGTGCAAAACTGCCATTCTCTGGAGCATTTTCTCAGTCCATAGAGACTTTGCTTCCTGGCAATTGTCGACTGTTTGGCTCAAATAAACTCACACAAAAATTCTTCACAGGTTTGAATGTTTTCATGTTGACACTTTAAACAGAAGGCATTACTTACAAACTTGATATATAAAATGGGTCCACTCTGCACTCTTTTGGGTTGAGAGGAAGCGTGGGGCCCCATTCCCTTTGCCTTACCCCCGTGCCTCACTGTCTGCTGCAAAGGCGCCTCCATGGAACCCCAGAGCCCCGAGGAACACAGTTTGAGAATCACTGAGGTTTTTGAATGCTTTACAGATAAGGACAGGACATTCAGGAAGGTAAAGGGACCCATCCCACAGCTCCTGGTAGACACCCCGCCACTTAGGATTCAGGCCTCCTGGCAGCTTGTCTGCTCCTGCCTGAGCTGCTGGGCTTTCCACTTGGGTCCCTTTCTCTGATTTCTGTGTAGAAAAAGGGGGTGGATTGTGTTATTTTCCCCTTTCATGAGCTTCACTTCTCTTAATCTGTATAATGCAACTGGAAGCCCACGGTTTGTTTGTTGACTTTTACTGTGGGGACCTGGACGCTGTTTGGGAATGGGGAGATTTGGGCAGATTCAGAAAGGTGTAAGAAGTGACTGCTGTTCTTTTCAGACAGGAGTCTTTTTTTTTTTTTTCTTTTTGGTTGTGTGACTGTATTGGCTGTCCTTCTGCATTTGAGGATATTCTCCGTGGGCTGTATGTCAGCCCAGTAACCTTGAGTCCTTTAAGTCTAATTTCCCATCCTAGGCAGCCCTGGCCAGCTGGCCTATGAGAAGGCAGTGAGTGGCCACCAAGCACCACTCATTTGCAACTGTATTGTTTTTTTGTGACAGTTCCTGGAAGAAAGCTTAACAAAATCTTCAAAGTTTTCTTTGAAAAAAGGGTCCTGTTATCCTCTCTCTACCTTGTCACTCATAGCTCCTTAACTTGCATGATGTGACTTGTTTCTCTGTAGACCAGAGACTTGTATGTGACAGCAACACCCAACATTCACATGAAAATCACTCCCAGTAGCACTTAGACTTTTATTGTATAATGAACCCTCTGAATAGCAGTGCCTTTCATATTCCCATCTAACTATTTCTGAAGACTCGCATCATGCATTTTCTGTTTTCAAGGTCCCCTTTTTACATGGACAAGGCATGGTTGTATTTTTATGTAATATGCTTACTCTACGTGGAGGGACCTGGGAATTAAATGAAACTTCTTCTTTGAGTTTTGAAAGAATAAATCTTTCAGTTTTTAAGATTTGACTGCTGTGAGTGACCTCTGGTAGCCAGCGCCTGCTTATGCACATGTCCAGAGAGGACTAGACACTGGTCAAGGAAACCTGAGAGCAAGTGTTCCTTTGAGGTAGATCTCGGAGGAGGGGAACCCGAGCCCTCGGCTTCCCATCTTCCGTCTTGGGGTGGTTGTCAGTTAGCATTTTCATTGGGAAGGATGTAAACCTTCAGAACAAAGCCTGCCTTATTGTTGGGCGGAATGAGCTGCCCTTGGGGAGACAGAAATCTGCCAAGCAAACATTTGGTGGACCTCTGTTCTGTGAAAGCCCTGGAATTAGGAATTTCCCCTAGTTTTATGGAGGGAACCTCTCCAGACAGCAGCCGTTAGGCATCCTTCGTGAGGGCGTGGATGTGGCCAGCAGGGTGGAAATGGTGAAGACCCGGGGCTCGCTCCTTGGCAGGTGCTTTTGCTTTGCACAGTACTTGCTGCCTCTTTCAGAAGAGCCTCATGTGCTCTTCTCATTTCCCTGCACGCAGACAGGTTGTTCTCAGCAACCTTCCTCCTCACGGTTTAGGAATAGGATCATGGCCCTTGTCTGAGTTGGTGACTTCATGGTGAGTCGTGAGGGATGACTTCCTAGTCTATCATTCCGTCCACATTTACTGTATGGGTTAACCTGGGCTTGGAAGTTCATGGCCAAAGGCAAGGTGAGTGTTCTGTCGAGGGCAGATCCTAGTTTTGTAGGCTTGAAGCTTGCTTAATTTTGTGGGGCCTCCTTAAGGATGAAATACAGAACTACAAACAAAAAAGTAAACACTTTAAGTGAGAAAAGAAATCACAACAATTTACAAATTTGTAAGAGCTGACAAATACTATAAACATTCCCAAATCCATAAAAACAATATTACATTAACTCTCTGGCATGATGTATAATATTTCCTCCCACAGGTTTTGTCTGCATACTCTGGTCTCTTCATATGACATTAATTTGGCAACAGTGTTTCTGTAGCGGGAGTAGCTTGGCGCATCAGAGTCAATTTTTTAATTATTGAGAATTTAGAAAAGCTTTCTTGACTTATGTAAATTCTTAGAATTGTTGTCAGATCTGGGGAAACGTCCATCAAGGTATTTCTACTGACAAGTTGTAAAATTTCAGGACTTTTCAAGCTTTCTTGTGCAGCTTTCTTTTCCAGTTTCTTGACTGTTTTTTGAATTGATTCATCTGTCATCAGTGACTTTTAGTGGCATAGTAGGATATTTATGTTTTCTTCATGGACATCAATGCTTTGTGCTATATCAACAAGAAATATTACTAATATTCTTATGATTCACTCCATTAAAATCTAAGAATTTATTCTGTTTACAGCTTTTGATATGATTTGAAAATATTTTCATTTGATAGCTACAAACATAGGTATCATGATAAAGTTTATTTTGCATGATTCTCAAAAAAAGAAAGGGAAAGCTGATGGTGCATTTATAACTTCATGCACTATGTTATGGAGTATATCCCTGATAGAGCACTTCTGCTGAATTTTTGTTTTAACTATGTAGTGTGGGAACTTACACTTTTGCATGCTTGGTGTGATTGAAAGAATGTTCCAGAGCCTGGGTTCTGATTCCAGCATGATGGTTGCATGCTCGAGAGAGCTATGAGACCTCTACCCCTGTGCCTCCCGTTAGCTCAGGAAGCACCGAGGGTGTTAAGATTATTTCTGGAAGCCGTTTCCGCACAGTAGTGACTTAACAGTGACCTAACCCTGCACTGAAATGACTGTGAACCACATAAATAAGCCCCACTGAACCCAAACTTAATGTGTCTTCAATTTGGCTCCCCTTTAGTTGAATCCTAAACATATCTGTGGCCACCCCAGTGCCACCTGACCCTGGAAGAAGTGTGACAGAGAGGAAGTGGGAGTGGAAAGAGATAGCAGTTTTAGCTGATTGTGGTTAAGATATCCACTTTTACAAATTTCACAAAAACATGTGACCCTGTGAATGTGGTGTTTGCACCCCTCCCACAGCTGTGAAGGGTCCCTGGCAGGGGAGGGGCCTGATGCGCCAATGAGCTTTTGGGCCATTTCACTTGTGGGCTCTGTTGAGACAATTGTCCCAGTGATGACCATGGGGAAGTGTAAGAAATGAAACTGAAGAGGCCTATAGACTGTGGGCAAATGGAGGGATGAAGAGTGGAGGTTTTGTCAAGTTTGAAAACTGAGAGAGCTGTGTGATTCGGAACTGGTATCAGAAGACAGGGTACTGGAGTTTGTTTTACTGGTGACATGGTCCAGAGCATGTCTGTGCTGATATGAAACTGAGCAATGGTAGAAGAGAAGGTTATTCTGCCTCCAAGGTCACATTGCCTTCTCCTCTCCTGTCTGTGTCAAATCTTCCTCTGCCTCTCTCTTATGAAGACCCTTGTAATTGCATTTAGGACTCACCCTGGTAGTCCAACATAATTTCCCCACCTCAAGATCCTTAACTACACTTGGAGAGTCCTTGCCATATAAGGTAGCATTCACCAGTTCCAGATATTAGGACATGGATGTCTTTTTTATGTTTTGGTGTGTGAGGGGATCATATTCTCCCTACCACACCATCCAAGTTGAATTACCCTGGCCAGTGTGGCTCAGTTGGTTGGGTATTGTCCCATGCACCTAGAGGTCCCTGGTTCAATTCTTGTTCAGGACCCAGAACCAGATTGTGGGCTCAATCCCCAGTACGAGGCGTCCAGGAGGCAGCCAATTGATGTTTCGCTCTCACATCAATGTCTCACTCTCTCTCTCCCCCTCCCTTCCTCTCTAAAAAAACAAAAACAAAACAAA